CCCCAAAACCCCAAAACCCCAAAACCCCTCTCTAGGGTTCTAAGTTTGAAAATTTCAGAAGGTTTCTAACCCAAAAACCATGAATCTTATTATCAAATAAATGCTAAGATATTCTGTAATAATCGACTCAAAGATTATCTCCTTCATGACCAAAGACGCCAGTGTGTCTCTTGTAGTTCCCGATCAGAGCGCTTACTTCTTCATTGTAGGAGCTGAATTTGTGGCTGTTCTTCTTTCATTCATCGATGAATATAAAGGCGAAATCCTCTGTGAATTGCTGGGCTTTACGTGTGTGAGGGATATTTTGATTCCAAAAATCAAACAAGTTCTTCTCCGGATGGTACTGAACTGCAATGATTGGATAATTAAATGCTTCCACAGTTGAAACTATCGGTTTACCATCTCCGTAGTCATCGTAACTAAGCACATTGAAAAATCCCCTTAGTTCTTTAGATTTGTAGAATTCTGAGAGATAAATACCATAACGATGCCAATTAAACTCGATCCTCTCATCAGCTTCACCATTTCTGCTTGCATAAGCTTGGATATCGAGATTCCCAAGCATGTTAAACTCAGAAAGTGGTGTCATAAGAGGAGTGAAAGTATCATTTTGGCCCCATCTAAGTGAATCTGCGATAATTTCAGGATTTCCTGAAATTGCTCTCATTAAGAACTGAATGCCTTGTCAGATGCCAAGCAGGGGGAAGTAATCCCCTTGGTCATTCTTTGCTATTACATATCTCAGCACATGCTTCAGGGAGAGATAATATGGGTGGAATTCATTACTCTCAAAGTCATATGGGACTATATCTCCACCTGTGAAAAGAACTCCATTGACTTTATCTAAAGCTCGATAAATTCTTTCTTTTGGCCATTTAAAGCTTATAGGTACAGCTCTAGCTCCAAAACTCTCGAGCATGTCGCTATAGGTATTTGGCAGAGATTCAATTGGCTCTCCAGTATTAAGATAATCAAATTCACATGTCAGAATGCCTATGATAGGTCTATCAGTGACCTTCTCATAGTCTTTTTGTTGTTTGACACCTCCAAAGTATCTCATTTCTTTAGTTTCACCCCTAACAGCCATACATAGCATCAAAATCCACAAATTTGCGGTCAAAAACTTCCTCATTTTGACAGAATAATGCAAATAAAATTATTTTGCTTCTAATTTCAGGGGTTTTGGGGTTTTGGGGTTTTGGGGTTTTGGGG